ATTATTATAATATAAAATATATAATTAACCATCATGCATTTGTTAAACTAACTAGCTACAAACAATATAAATTAAACAATGAACTGCACACATGCATATTTTATCAATGACACACATGCATGAAAGGTTCAAGTTGCTAACCGCGATCGAGGAGGAAAAAATAAATGAGGAACCTCAAGTGTGGCTCCAACACTTCATATCATGTTTGTTTCACCCTCTTAGGGCATTTCATCAAACACCTTGTGTGCATAAGAGGAACCAAAAGCAAACCTACACCCCCTTGTGAAGCTTGTGAAGAGAAGTGGCACCAAATGGCTAAGTGAGCGTGCTGAACTGGTATATATAGGGGAGGAGCTTTAGTCGCGGTTGGCCTGGCCAACCGCGACTAAAGGCCTTTGCGCACCTTTAGTCGCGGTTGGCCTGGCCAACCGCGACTAAAGCCCCTCACGTGCACCAGGTGGCCACCGAGCGCCCTGGGCCCAAGCCTTTGGTCGCAGTTCGTCTGCCGAACCGCGACTAAAGACTTCATTAGTCGCGGTTCCTACAGTTTCACGACTAATGGGGCTGGACGGAAGCCTCTTTTTCTACCAGTGAGGCAGAACGTAAAGTTTTAAATTTTCGTGATCGCGACACAAGCCCCAGCTAACAGTAAACAGAATCTCATAGCTAAGATTTCGGCGAAAGGGACACTAGAATAAGCAAGCACAAGGAGGACTTACTAGTTGCGCGCGAGCATTCCAGCGCTCGGTTTCCGGCCGGAAAGCAGGTAACTCAACTTTCCTTATTTTTTTGACGGGGTCTCAACCTTCCTTTTTAAGCAAATCTGTGTGACAGAAATATTAAGAGACACACCTAAAATCAGTTTTGGTGGCGAGATGAGGAGGATAATAAAAAGATGGATTGGCTCGCATGGTGGACACTTTGCTTCCCTAAAAGTGAGGGAGGTAAGGGCTTTGGAGATTTACATTTTTTTAGCCTTCCAATGCTAGCCAAGCAATGTTCGAGATTGATACCTAACCCTGATTTGTTCTGCGCAAGAATTTTAAATGCCAAATACTACCTTGACTATGATCTGCCACAATCTACCCCTAAGAAAGGTTCACCCTTCACGTGGCCACAACATCATGTTTTGTCTTTCATCCTTGAAGTGTGGGTATATTCGGAGGATTGGTACAGGGGGAGAGGATCCTATACAGTTCGGATTGGAAGGTTATTACGCCGAAAATGTTACATCCACGGGCTCCTACGAAGAGAATACTATATAAACTTACTAGTAACTAACTAACTATGCCCCCCGATTTTCATGGGGTGGGCCCCTCCCTTCCCTTAACTCCAATCACATCTTCCAACGTTATTGATTTTTTTATTACTCTTATTACCCACCCCACGAGGTTAAACAGTAGTTAGCGATCTAATCAATGCTACCATTATTGGTTTGTGGCATGAAGAGCTCACGAGTTTAATGAGTTTGGCCAAAAAAGGAGAGTAGAGGAGAGGAGGAGATTGCTAATTTGGGCGCGGTAATCTCTCCGGGCCTCTCAACGTGCGGCGGGTCGATGTATATATAGAGCTAATCAAGCTCCTTCAGCCTCACACCGCACCACAATCTCTCTTCCTCTCGTACGCTAGTGTGCAAACCAACCAACGCAAGACAAGAGAAGCAGCAATGGCGGTGCAGCAGTGTACGGTGGCGCTCTTGGTGGCCGTCGCCCTCGTCTCGTACGCTGCCGAAGCTGGCTACGCCCCAGCCGGGCCACAGCCCAAGGCCACGACCGAGGAGCAGAAGCTAGCTGAGAAGGCCAACAACGCCTTCAAGGCGGCCGTGGCGGCCGCAGCCGCAGCTCCTCCAGAGGACAAGGGCAAGATATTCGTCAAGACCTTCGTGCAGATCTTCGGCAGCTGGTCTCTTGAGGGGGTCACCGACACGTCCAGCACCAAAGCCATTTTCAACTCCAGGGTCGGCTTCACTCTGGCAGGGGCCGCACTGAAAGCCCAGGGTGCCACCCCGGAGGCCAAGTATGAATCCTTCGTGGCCATGTTCGACAAGTCGCTCTGCATCATCGTCGGCATCATGAAGGTCCACGCCAGCGAGGAAGTCAAGGGGCCGATCCCTGCCGGCGAGCTCAAGGCCATGGACCAGATGGACGCCGCCTTCTGCACTGCAGCCACCACCGCCGACGCTGCCCCGATAAAGGACAGGCCCGCTGTCTTCGACTCTGCCTTCAGCAAGGCCATCAAGGAGACCACGGGCGATGCATACGAGGCCTACAAGTTTGTCCCCGCCCTCGAGTCCGCCATCAAGAAGACCTACGCTGGGTTTATTCCCGGGAGTCCCCAGGACAAGCGCACGCTCTTTGAGGCCACCCTGAGCGACACCATCGTCTCCATGGCCGCCACTCCCACCGCCGCCGCTCCCACCGCCGCCGCTGCCGGTGGCTACAAAGTCTGAGCTCACCGCATATACTGCACGTACATATGCATATGCGTACGTGTGTATGTGACTGTGGCAGCCAGCGAGTTTGATCGACAATCAAAATCAGTTCTTGGTTTTTGTTTCATGCACCGGCGATCGATGACCTGATAAGCATCGGCCATCAGCCAGCATATTCCATTCATTTTCGTATATTAAATTCTTGGCCATTCAGCTTTCACCAGGTACCGGAACACTAAATTGTAACCAACCATGCATGTGGAAGATGTCATAATACACATACTTTCTACTTACTGTATTTATATCTCTAAGCTGAGCTGCTTGATTTGTGTTCTCTGACAACCTCATGCGTGCTCAAACTGATTCAGTTTAAAACAAGCAGCAGTTGGTTTTATATATATATTGCTTTGCTACCATTTGGAATGGTGCAGGTGAAAAGCAAGCAATGCTTTCGTAAGCAAGGTAGTGTCAACGAAGATTGCGTGTGTGTCTCTATGTGTGCGACAGACGCTTTTTCATACTGTCTGATTACCTCATATCATAAGTACTCCCTCTGTTCACTTTTATAAGACCTTGAAGATATTTCAGACAATCTGCAAAACAATCCATTTTGAGTTGTCTGAAACGACTTACAAAAGTGAATGGAGGGAGTACAACATATTACTACCGGCAGTGCTAGTAAGAAAAAAATCCTAGAGATTTCAATCCTCCAAAATTTCTTCGCAAATCCTTTGAATCAAAGGAGCCATAACCCTTGTTTTCTTCCTATACATGTTATTTGATTCGTAGAGATGCAACCATAATGATTTTTTCTTAGGATTCATCTGTACTAGATGCCAGCGGAAAATTTTCATCCACTTCAACCCCATGTGAAGATTCTTATATGCTCGATCAAACATCCATGCAATCCTGTAGTACCGAAGATGGCATGATATCTTATTCCCGGATTTTCCCTATTCCTATGTTTTAAAAATCCCGCGAATCAGAGAAGTCTGGTGGCAACAATGCAAATTGGTTTTTGTACCCGAAATATTACCACAAGTAATTTGTGAGAATTTGAAACAAGAATAATACAAATCCAACTCCGATCCATATCCTCCAAAAATAGTCTTCAATCACTCTTTATCTAAGATAGCCACATATTAAAGAGGAGGTGTTGGGGGGTTTTTAGCTTGATATCATATGCAAACCCAAAAGGAACCAACATAGCGAACTTAAAGGTAAGGTCAAGCACACTTTTTTAGATTAAAGGCGTAAGGAGCGCCCAGCTTTAAATGAATAAAGACAACAAGGCCAACGTTGTTCAGTATAACAAACCAAGTAAAGAATAAACAAAGATTACATGCCATCTCAAAAGGCAAAGGATGTTAAAACAAACTAGAGCCGAAAGGATCGAACGCTGAAGACATCAGGCGGTTGTTTTTGTTGACATAGTGTACTTATTTAATCTTGTTTTGCACCGCACCAGCCACCTCGACGTCCTTCCTCTTTGCCGAAAGACTCCAATAACCAAAAAAGAATGACCAATTGATGTAATCAACAGGTTGATTTAGAAATTTACCCATCGCAGTCAGTTTATTGTGGCTTCCAAAGAGCCCAGGCTAGAGCCGCGGATGAATGCCATGCAATCCTTTGGTGTTGACTGTTGTGGGGTGGCGTGG